ACTTTAATAATAGTAACTAACTTGTAAGCGTCGTTTATTTAATTATGTTTTGTGATGTCTTATATCTTAGAACTACAAACACACTTGTAAAATTATCGTTAGCTTAGAAGAGACAAAATCAATTTTCTCCATGACGCAATAAATAGCCACGTGATCACATAGTAAAACATAAACGAACCTTTATATGTCCAATACGTGCACAATCTAATATTTATAATCATCAAGACCACGTTATATATAGCAATACATTAACTCCACCATTTATTATTGGTCCTTACACATCAAGTGGCGACTATATATAAGAAGATAGTCAATGAATTTTAAAATGACAGTGGGGATTTTTTATATACATTATAATGTTAAAACACGAACTGTTTATAAAGAATTTAGGAAAGCTTGACATCTTGTAATACAATAATTCATCTTTTTCACGATACTCTTTTTTCCTTTAGGATATCAGGCATTCAATGATAGATTTAAGGCTAAACATAGATTAAACTTTTGTTTTTTGATAAAATCTTTTCTCTTCGTTATTCACTTCATTGAAAATTAGGGATCATTCCTATCGTCATGAATGATGAATTCTAACAATTGCTAATTATTTTTCATAACAAATTTGAACTAACCTTTCTTCTAAGGACTCCGTCATCTTCATTTTCCCATTCTCAAACATCTTGTACTTCATCCAGATTTAGTTCAATTCCCTTCTCACCAACGATTTTCCCGTTGTCCACAACGGTAATGTCCTTCTTTTCGTAATAGACACAAAGGTATATACTATGGTAGACGTAACGGTAGACATAACGATAGACAGAAAGGTAGACATTAACATAGACACATAGATAGACATAACGGTAAACTTTTTCTGTTTTGATATGGTCGTTTTTTGTCTAACACAATTGTTTACTTCTTGATTGCAAAACATACAGTATACCTTAATGTCTACCTTTATGTCTACCTTTTTGTCTACCTTTATGTTTACTATAAGTCTACCTTTATCTCTTCCTTTATGTCTATCTTTATGTCCACCTTTATGTCTACCTTTATTTTTATCTTTATGTCCACCTTTATGTCCACATTTATGTCTACCTTTATGTTTACCTTAATGTCTACCTTTATGGCCACCTTTATGGCCACCTTTATGTCCACCTTTATCTCTACTCTTGTGTCTGCCTTTGCGTTTTTCTATTTTTTTTGTCTACCTTTTTTTATATTCATTTCCGCCATTATCATTTCAATCATTTAGTACCTAACGTCAGTTCCACTTGAAACGTTTCAAATATAACACTCAACCACTTCTCTGTCTCTCTGTCAAATAAATATTTACCTGAAAGTAATAAAAATAATACAGAATAATAGAATAACAAGCGTAAAAATGAAAATAGTAACTTGCTTTGTGTCAAAATTTCAAACAAAATTCTATTCATGTGCTTTTTTCAAAATGGAGTTATGCACTTACTGGATTGGGTATTTTAATGAATAGAAATCAAATTTTGAAGCATGTGCTACGTGATTAGTATTACGCAAGCAAATTTGCTTGAATACGTATTTAGCATCCAGTCTCCTCCTCTCAAAATAGTATAAAGGTAAATCACCGGGGGGTTAAAAAAAGGAAATAAGGTATGCACTATGGTTCAAACATCGTTACATTCAGTGTAGAATGTCGTGAATTAATACGATCATAACAAAGTTTTGAATCACGAGCAACGACTTCAGTAATTTACAATCAATCCGTACCGTACCATAATGAGAGGACACTGTAGATATGTGGCGCGACGATTGAGTTAGAGTGTCAAAGACATTAGTCTTATTGCGTATAAACAATGAGAAAATACTTGGTTGTATTAGCGCTCTTGTGTTTAATGGTTATTGCATCCATTTTGATTATGAAAAGACTAAATAATAATCGTTTATACAAACCCAGTGGGAAAGATTTTAAAGGTAAGTTTTCACTCACCTATCATTGAAATATTTAACAACAGTCTATTATATATCATTCCTTTTTCTTTCGCCGCGCACACAATGACGAGTAAACAAAAGTTCAATAGATCTTGGAGAGCATATGGTGTGATACAAAGATTGGTAATATAGAGGCATATTCATTCACCAAACTAGAAAGTTTGTAAACTGCGCACCCGAGATTCGATATGTGCGCGCATAAAAAGAATTGTTTTCTCAAAATAGCGCATCCTATACCTCGGGTGCGCACTCAAAACTCCCATTCAGTGCTGATTAACCTTTCGTGGGGCCCGTGAAATATTTTCAGCGCGGTGCCCTTTCTCCCATGGCCGGCTGAAATTCAGATTGTCCTGAAATCAGAAAGATTAAAAAATAATATGCATACCATCATGTGCAAAAATATCTGTATGTTAAAACAAAAAGTATGTACATTAATTTGAATATTTGAATTGTCATCCAACCCAGCTTAAATAAATAACATTAATTGACAATTATAGAGAACTTGATTAAAAGGAAAAATTAAACTTAATCAACCAACTAAACAGTCATAAGATTCGGTATACATGCTCGGATGCGGCGATGCATGCTCGCTCGACATGTATGTAAATTGTACGCGTAAGTAATGTAGCATAACTTTTACTAAAATTTCATTTTGCTTTGTAAGCGTTGTGTTTGCGGGATTTCTTTACAGCAAAGATTGATCCGCCATCGATTGTTTTTGTATTGGAACCTCGTCCTCGCTAGAGCTTTTATCGTCGTCAAAATGCTTGCAATCATTCGTGTTTTCATTGGTCCACGAGTCCTCATCCAAAAGTCTCGAGCGTACGCTAGGTGCTTCAACTATGCTCAATTTCATAAAGCTATCTTCAACCTGGCGTCTTTGTTTTTCCACTTTCATGCTTGATTTTGTTTCACTGTTGGAAGTTTCATTGTCAAGTATTTCTTCTACCTCAATCCACGAATTATAAATCTGCCATAGATATTAGAGCATTGCTTATGCACAAAATATGCAGATACAAACTTATAGAGAATAATAAAAACATCTCTAACATTGTCACGAGTGGCGTAAAAAAGTGATGAGTTTGATATGCATTTGTCAAAACAAGCTTAAAAAGGCAAAGAGCATGCCAAAAGTATATGATTGAAAATTTGCGAAGCGTATATACAAGCACCAATTTCAGAGCTCGCTCCGTCACAAATTAATTGAGAACAAATCTGGGCATGCCTAGTCAACTCCACCAACTCGCCAAGTTCATCGTCATGGAAACCACCAACTGTATGTACTAGTACCGATTATGGAGTAATTAGCTCGCTCAGTAAAAAAATTTCAGACAATTTATCTGCGCATGCGCAGTCATCTTGAGCATGTTTAGTCGCTTTGACCGCCTGCCCAGTTCGTGGTCACGGCAACGACCAACTGTATCTACCAGAATCTATTTTGAAGTAAATAACAATTTAATAGAAAAATTATCTGCGCATGCGCACGAGCAGTCTACTCGACTAATTGTTCATAGTCATGGCAACGACTTACTATATGTACTTGCACTTACATTTGTGGCAATTAACTCATTTAGTCGCAAATTATCAAAGAAATCATCTGGGCATGCGCAGTATTGATGTCAATTATACGACAACTTTTGTAAGCCTTTGAATTTATGTATATATATATAAAGCTAAAACTTCTCATAGTAGATGCCAACTAGCAGTGGAAGCTGGGTGCGATAAGGTATGCTTAGGGCTTAGTAGCCCACACTTCGGTGGCGACTGCACTCTCCCTGCGTACCCCGAGCTAAGCCGATCGCAGGTGATCTCGGGGTCTGATGGGCGGAAGCTTGCTATTGGCATGTCCCAAGTAGGATAGCGTGGAGGGGCTAAAATCTCCTACCGAAACGTTAACATGCGGCGTTCTAGTGCCTTACGCTTAAGAGGGTATCGGCAAGCATGGACCGAAAACGGGGTTTTTTTGCTTCGAATTTTATCTTTTTGTTTATCTCATAGAACAAACTAGAACATCCAAGGATACTACAAAGGTTCGAATAACTTCTGCCTTCTTGAATTATAATTAAGCCAACTCTTTTTACTTGTTACCTTTTACAATGTAACTTTCTCATAACTCTCTCGTGATGAACAACACCTTCCTTAAACAATATAACTCTCATATTGTTACTACAAAGGTGATATTACAAACAAACACATACCACTTACTCTGCATCTAAAGGAAAAGGCTAAAGAACAAATTAAAAGGATGAAAAAAATGATACAGTTTGTTTCATTTTTGCTCTATGAATCAAAAAGAAAAGCAAAGAACAAGTAAGTATCACAACAAAGCAAAGAATTATATACACACATTCATCTTTTTGATATTTGTGGATTATTAGAGAGAAACAAACAAATATCAAAGCTTGTGCATCAAAACGAAAAAGAAAAAAAGTAAATGGAATGACAGGAATTACCAAAAACATACCAAAGCAAATATAATAGTAGACTGACAAAGACACAAACGCGGATAGCTTAGATTAACATTGTCATGAACGCAAGTTATGGTACAAAAACACATAAAGATAACCTTGCTCTTTTGAAGCTAGTTATTCATCATAAAAAATGTGGAGATTACATTGAAAAAAAATTGAACGTATGAGTTGAAAGTTAACCGAGGTCTTCGTTTTCCATAAGATACATTCAATTTGTTTGAATTTGTTCAAGAAAATTGAACACATTTGAACAACTATCCCAAAGTTCCACTGATTTAATAAATCAAGTCGACGCCTAGTCATATATAGGCCGTTGTTCGTGCCATACGATAGCATGAAAAGGGTCGTTGTATGTCGTGATAGTGACAAATAGTGCCATTCATTCTATAGATGAATAAGGCCATCGTATGTAGCTCGTCAATGTTGTGTGAGAGCGTAATCCAATGAGAACAGATAAATGTCAAATTCCGAACAATAACTAGTTGCTGCATGTGTATGATCAAAATCATCATAAGACAAAATGTTAAGGAAAAGAGTGCTGGATCACGATCCAAGTCAAGCAATGAAATGTATTTTTGTAAACATATATTTTTTGAAAAACAGTACTTTATCTACAGTGTTACAATGCTGGACTTCAAACGTGGATTCGCTTCGGTATCAACTGTCTAAAACATTTTTATTTGTTGAAGGGGTTAACCGTCCATTACACTGATTACTTTACCTGACAAAAATATTAACCTGACCTACTTTATCAATGTCGTACAACAAAGCAAATGCCGAAAGGGGTAAAATCACGCAGCTTATCGAATCCACGCTGGCAGCCTATTTTTACAAAAAAAGCAAGACAAAATAAAGATTGAAAATTTACACTTTCCCATTATTGGAAACTTTCAATGCAAGTGTAAGAGATGATGACATTTACATTTACAATATCTAATAACACTATAGACAAACACATATTATTTATATGAAACATGAAATTTCAAAACAAAATGAAAACAATAAAACACACACTTTAACTAAACAGTAATAACTCTGATTTCAAATAAAAAATAAGCGAAAGAAAGAAACAAAGGCATTTTGTTTTCGATATAAAGCCTGGGATTGAGAAACCAAAGTTTAGATTAATTATGAAATACGAAAGCGCTTGAGTATGACTTAACCAAAGGCCGTGTCGAAGAGTTGAAAATCAAAGTTTTCGAAAATGGGTGTGCTTATACGGCGTGGTCTTCTGAAAAGAACAAAACCCACATGGTTATTCAACACAAATAAGATTTAGTTTTTTTTCACGCTTACGTACATGTTTCAACGAAAATATTACTTGAGTGTGTCACACGCCCGCACACCCTGTCCTTCGCAACGGCCCGGTTAACTATAACTATACACTAAATAAAATTTACGTACATTTTAGATGCACGTGCCTATATGGTTTGTTGTTGTGTTTTAATATCCATAACTTTAGCAAGAAACTTAAATTGATGTGGAAGTAGCTGTAACTATTTATGCAACATGGTTTTCACATTTCTTACAGTGTGATTTCTTCGAACACAAGAGACTTCTATAACATTTCACAAAATTCGAAACGCAAATGTTCGAAAAGTATTTCGGTCCTTAGGTAACCTGCTGGATTGAAGCAGGGTAAGATTCGAAAGTAAATGCACAAATTATTTTTTTAAAGTTTTGGCAAAATCGGGTCACATTATTATTTTAGAACTTAGCTTAAGTTGCTGCGCTACTCATTTTAGTATCATCAAAAAAACAACACAAAAATTGCCGGATATGTAGCGAGAATTAGTTTTGCAGGATCAAGAACACTTTTCTTCGATTTCTTTTGAGTATGGGTGTGATAACATTAGGACAATCTTCAATTTATGAAATTTTTTCGCATGGATAATGGCACGTTGATGTAGGCTTTAGCATTTAAAGATAAAGCTAAACGTTCGGGATCGACGGAAAGTGCTGAAGACAGAAGACGATACCTACTTTGTTAACAAAAGCAAATTTCTTGTACAATTTAACAAGTCTTTCCTCATAGTCGCTTTAAAATTTTACATTCATTTACATTTAAAACATTTAACCGGGGATAAAACAATGTACAAGATCGCTGTATATGAAATGGAACGTAATCAGTATTTTTCTTATGAAATCATTCTTACAGTTTACATACACCAAATCATATGTGTGTTAAACCTTTATGGAAAAATAAAAACACTAGAGGCATAAAATAAAAGTACTAAATTCAGTACTTATTGCGTAAAGAAACCAATTTCAAGAACGCCAATTAATTTCACTGGCAGTTTACATACACCAAATCATATGTGTGTTAAACCTTTATGGAAAAATAAAAACAGTACAAGCATAAAATAAAAGTAATAAATTCAGTACTTATTGCGTAAAGAAACCAATCTCAAGAACGCCAATTAATTTCACTGGAAACTGCTAATGTAAGAAAAGTAGTTTAACGATTGCCTTACGCGCTGGGTGAAAAAAAAAACGCATAAACAAAATCTGCGTGGTGATAGTTTTTTCAAAATAATTAATATAAGAAATTTCGAAATAAATTTGGTATGTTTATTGTTTATGTAAAAGCACTCACGTCAAAGTCTCAGGCAAAGTCATCAGTAAACGGCGAAGGCATCAGCAAAGAAAACCAACAGCTAAAATGGCTACACAAAACACCATTAGACCGATTTTGAGTAAGTTGAATTGGAATACAATTTCAATGTTAGATATGACTTTAGAAAATTTAAGTTGTGATTTTGTTCATTGTTTTAGGCCAGTGTGAACACTGTCACTTATGGGTGATTTGCCCACCAAGCTGTGGGCATAAAAAGTCCACCTCTCTGAGGTGAAGGAAAGACTGAATGAATGCTTGCCATTCAAATGTCCTATTTGCTTGTAAGTCAAATAATTTATATGCTTGCTATATGTTGTAGTCGTTTTTTTTATGTAATGTCCATTGCTTTATACTCTAGATGTTTTGACGAAGAAGTAGATCGCTTCTTAGGAGATTTTTTCAGTATGTATTTTTATAATTCTTTATCTTTTGAAAATTGATACAGTATAACAGTCAGTAAGATTTCTTTTTATTTCAGAGTGGTCATTGCTAGTTTCTTTAAATAAAATGTTTATTTCAATAAAATGTATTTAAGAATATCAACGTCTCATGTTCTAATTTGTTCTTTTTTCTGCAAAAAATATTTTTCTCCAATCATTGCACATCATAGACAATCGTCGGAAGGTATACATACAGTGTTTCAATTAACATGCCATTAAATGAAAGTATTTGGATAAGTTCCAATCGTTTCTGTATGGTATGATTAATCCATATGCAAAATAGCCGTTATGGACCATCGTCTAAACTCTAAAAAATATAGAATGTCGTAAAATTATAACTTGTTCAGCTTTATGAAAAACTGCCAAAAACCGAACCATCAAAAGCATACGTTTTTTTTGCGTGGAAACCACACAATAAACGCGTCCCAACTTACACGTGGTCTGAATAGAATTTAATCTTATGCAAATTTCAATTCATCAAGTGTCCGATACTTTAAAAGGAGAGAAATCATGAGCTTTCGGCCTTTCGAATTGCACATACGCATTCATACACTTGCAGGTACAAGTTTCCAAGCGGTATGGAATCTTTAAAGGATTTGGCCACAAAAACTACACTTTTAAACATTCATAAAGCTTTTGGGGGAAAAGACCAGATGAAACCACAACACAATATTCAAGGCACACTGTTCAATGGTAATTTTCTTTTCACAACGCATGCGCTGTGTACTTCAACCACTTGAAACACTAAAAGTGTTTTGTATGTGTTATGACGATAAAAACTCTGCAAAAAATCAAGACACGCAAGTCGTAAAGTCTGGAAGAATGGCATCGTCGCAGCCAACATCAAGCGAATACCCCGAAATTAGTAAGTGCGAGTTCTTTCTGTTTATTTCAAATTAGCGAATGTTTTCTATCTTCAACAGAATCTATCTCCTCATTTTAAGAAAAATGTAATCGCTGTCGTGACTTTTACACGCCAGCAAAATGTGGTCATACTGTCCATCTGTCCCCGTTGATGGAGTCACGGGGAAAATTCCAATGCAAAATTTGCGGGTTTGTATGCCTTTAAAGATATTTTAATCTCAGGTTGCGTTTCATGTCATTGATTTTTACTCTTCATTCATGTAGTGTATCGGACGCAGGTGTCTATGTAGCTGTTCGCCGATTTTTGATGTAAGTTTGTAATTCATGGGTGTGTTTATACCTTACTGTGTGCTATTATATAAAGATTAAATATATATATATGTTTGAGGTATAAACTGTCATACGGAAGCAGCAATTTTATATAGTGGTTCTTATTTCATTCATTCAGAAAACTGTGTACAGAGGGCATCATGTTTGACGTTCAACATTGACAACGAAGATTTAATGTAACAATATCAATAAAAATTTACAAATGTTGAATGACTCGTTTTTTAAGTTTGTTTATTTTATCTGAAACAAATATTTTAAGCCAATCTTTACAAGTATATTTTAGTATCTCAAGTCTGTTAACGTGTGGGTCGACATCTTCAATGCTTTTCATAAAATCTTTCATAACAGTCTCCTTAGACACGCTTTTCAAGGCATCTCCTCATTTTCAGACGGACGAGGTCATGAAGCAAATTGGGATGGAATTCAATGCGTAAAACAGCCTGCATTCATAAGAAATCGTCGGCGGTTTAAATTAGACGATTGTAAAGTGCATGGATTCGTTTTCGAAGAGTCCGAGAAAATGGTGCAAGCATTCAACCAGTTTATGGTACTCGTGCGAAAGGGTACTGCGAGTGTACAAATGGTGGTGGTGATGAAGCACGAAAAAGCTGTTTGTCAAAATCTATTTGCCAATAAAGCTAAAGATCATTTCCATATGTTGGTGTATTACAGCGACGGCAAGTTCACTGATTCAAACACTAACAGAGTATGGAGTAAAATGAAGAAAGAAAAAGAAATTGCTTGGTCGAGTCAGCAGATTATCAAACCTCAAAGTATAGAGTCGTAAATACAATGTGAAGGACGTGTTACATTACTTCGATTTTTGGTGATGATCAGATATCCGAGCGGCTGCCACACGCTAATAAGCAAGACGTAAAGAAAGGGATGGAGGAACGTATTGTGAGGCGAGATGACGGCTGTAAGCGTAAAAGAGGTGGTGGTGATAGTAAGTATGGAGAAGATGACTGGTGGGTGCATGTTGCTAATAAAAATCCAGGGGAATTGCAACGCATGATACAAAATTTAGGGATAAGAGATGTGAGTAAGTTTCTATCGTATGCAGCGAGATTTATGCCAGAGTTCAAATTCGATTCTTTTATTTACGATCCTCGTAGAGGTGTAATGGAGAATCAAATTAACGAACAAATTAAGGTTCGAGGTATGGTGAACGGGGATCTACCAGTAAGAAAGGTAGAGTTGGAACAAATGCGACTCGTACTGGTACAAAAGTTAGAGACCATTTCGAAGTGAGATGAGGAGATTCAGGGACTACTGGAAAAAGATGAAGATATTGAGGCAGATATTGACGGGTCATCGGAATACAGCTGCGAAGTCTGGGATGCGTTGGCCGAAATCAACGAAGCACTGAGCGTGTTAGAGTCGAATAGGAGAACTGAGGAACTCGCGAACACATCAGCAAGTACGGCATCGAGTGAATCACGACGCTGCAGAGTCAAGACGATAGAGAAGACCATACCTACTTTGTTAAATAAAGCAAATTTCTTGTACAATTTAACAAGTCTTTCCTCATAGTCGCTTTAAAATTTTACATTCATTTACATTTAAAACATTTAACCGGGGATAAAACAATGTACAAGATCGCTGTATATGAAATGGAACGTAATCAGTATTTTTCTTATGAAATCATTCTTACAGTTTACATACACCAAATCATATGTGTGTTAAACCTTTATGGAAAAATAAAAACAGTAGAAGCATAAAATAAAAGTACTAAATTCAGTACTTATTGCGTAAAGAAACCAATTTCAAGAACGCCAATTATTTTCACTGGCAGTTTACATAAACCAAATCATATGTGTGTTAAACCTTTATGGAAAAATAAAAACAGTACAAGCATAAAATAAAAGTACTAAATTCAGTACTTATTGCGTAAAGAAACCAATCTCAAGAACGCCAATTAATTTCACTGGTAACTGCTAATGTAAGAAAAGTAGTTTAACGATTGCCTTACGCGCTGGGTGAAAAAAAAAACGCATAAACAAAATCTGCGTGGTGATAGTTTTTTCAAAATAATTAATATAAGAAATTTCGAAATCAATTTGGTATGTTTATTGTTTATGTAAAAGCACTCACGTCAAAGTCTCAGGCAAAGTCATCAGTAAACGGCGAAGGCATCAGCAAAGAAAACCAACAGCTACAATGGCTACACAAAACACCATTAGACCGATTTTGAGTAAGTTGAATTGGAATACAATTTCAATGTTAGATATGACTTTAGAAAATTTAAGTTGTGATTTTGTTCATTGTTTTAGGCCAGTGTGAACACTGTCACTTATGGGTGATTTGCCCACCAAGCTGTGGGCACAAAGTCCACCTCTCTGAGGTGAAGGAAAGACTGATTGAATGCTTGCCATTCAAATGTCCTATTTGCTTGTAAGTCAAATAATTTATATGCTTGCTATATGTTGTAGTCGTTTTTTTATGTAATGTCCATTGCTTTATACTCTAGATGTTTTGACGAAGAAGTTGATCGCTTCTTAGAAGATTTTTTCAGTATGTATTTTTATAATTCTTTATCTTTTGAAAATTGATACATAATAACAGTCAGTAAGATTGATTTCTTTTTATTTCAGAGTGGTCATTGCTAGTTTTTTTAATTAAAAATATTATATGTCAATAAAATGTATTTAAGAATATCAACGTCTCATGTTCTAATTTGTTCTTTTTTTCGGTCAAAAATATTTTTCTCCAATCATTGCAAGTGTACTTGATAATTTCTAGCCCATTTACTATCGGAGTAATGTCTTGTAAACTATCAAAGAAGGATTTCATGACTTCTTCCTTATCAATTTCTGATACTGCATCATCAAAGTATATCGATACCTTTTCATCATTCGAAAATATGGCCTTGTTGGAAATGTGTACACACGGTTTGAAGCAAAATGTGAATGAGTGTCTGAACGGGTAACATGGGAAAGATGTCCAATGTCCACATACGTGGAACAGGAAATTGTAGCACTTTCAAGCTACTTGGCTGCACTTAAATTCAATGAAGGGGATATATCATTCCTCAAATTATAAAGTGACTTAGACATACTACCTGGCATGTACCTGGCCATTGTTCTAACATGAACTTGAAACATGTTCCTGTCAGAAAAGCAAAAGATACGCGGACAAGGATTTTGTCGTTCAGACAAAACAATATTAAAGCTGCTAATGAACTGGATGTTATTCGTGCGTACCAGAGACTTATGTGCATTGATTTACGCAAAAACCCTAGTAGATATCATGCAGCTTTGTCACACTTTTGTCACGGAGCTCTTACCCGTGCCAGTTAGTTTCCAGTCCCCTTGAAGTTGATCGGTGCGCGCGCATGTCAACCGGAAATAGGGTTTAATAAACATGGCATGGCATTGGACGGCGTGAAAATCGGAAATACGACAAAGCTGGAAGTTGCATGCTATTGACAAAGTAACATTAGATCCGCCTTATGTTTTATTGGTCAATAAACCGGATTTATGTCATTGTGTATTCATTCTTCAAACTATATAGTCGAACTATCGTCTTAAAAAATGTTATTTGCGTTGTTTATTATTGCATTGCTTTTGGACGTTTTGAAAAAAGACAAAAAATATGGCACACATGTTTAATCAGATATATGCAGACACTGTTGAGTTTGAAGAAGTTAGTCACAGCGATCTTATCAATTTGATTTTCGTCGATTTTATAAGTAAAAAGATTCAAGAGCTACGAAGAGCTGAAAAGGATGAAAGTAAAGCAGACCCTTGGACGGAGTATTAAAACGTTTTAGAAATGATGGCTGAGGAAGATCGGTGGTTCAATTTTGCAGCTCGTGCAGTCGAAACAATCAATCGCGAACATGTTTGGAATGGAATATGTGAAGCCTTTAAGTTTCTAAAGTACAGTGGACCTTCGAACTCTCACAAGACATATTTTGACAAACTGTTTAGTGTTACTTGGGTAGAACTAATGTTAATGTACACGGAGACAAAACGTCCTCCTTTTTATCAACATCTCTTTGACTATGCTGATTGTAGTTGTAAATTGAAATACAGGTCAACTATGTAATTGCTTTGACAAAAAAATAAAATATAAATTTCAATGTTATTGCATTTTGTCTTCAGTTGTTTTATGACCATGTCATTGTGAAAATGGGGATCGGTAGCAGCAAACGTGAAAATAGAAATGCAAAAAGGGATAAAAATCATAATCGTCAGAAAATGTTTCGCTTGGGTATAAGTTTCGGACGCAACGAACTCAATCTTGAGGGTCATTTGCAAGCAGGATACACAAGTAAAACTGTTAAAAATTACGGACCCGCCACAATTAAACTTCCAACAGATAATGCGATGGAAGAAACACTACCTGTAACTGAAAACATTGAACCCGTCGATAATGAGTAGTTAAAAGAAATTGACATTTAATTGCAAAATTATTATCACGAGAACATTGTCATGAGTAACGTTGACCAGTACTTAGCCGGTGTATACTTCAATCCAAAACGCCCAGGAAGCTACGGAGGTGTTGAACGTTTGTACCGCGATGTAAAGGCAGAAGGAATATATGACATTAGTCGTGAAAGAATTAAAGAATGGCTCATGCAACAAGACGCATACTCTTTGCATAAACCTATTCGAAGAAAGTTTGAAAGAAATCGTGTCGTAGTGAGTGGTATTGACGACCAGTGGCAATTGGATCTTGCAGACATGCAATCTTTGCAAAAGTATAACGATGGTTATCGCTATCTTCTTATCTGTATTGATGTTTTTTCCAAATATGCATGGGCTGTTCCATTAAAAAAGAAAACAGGATCGTCACTGGTAGAAGCTTTTAAAAAGATTTTGTCATCAGGACGTAAACCAACACACATTCAAACGGATCAAGGCTCGGAGTTTTTTAATCGAGACTTTAAGAAACTTTTGGAAGAAGAAAACGTTACCTTGTTTAATACATTTAACGAGACGAAGGCATCCATCGTTGAACGTTTGATACGTACACTGAAAACTAAAATGTGGCGCTACTTCACAGCAAACAAAACCATGAGATACATTGACATGCTTCCTGATCTACTGTATTCTTATAATCATAGCATGCATCGCAGCATTAAGGAAAAACCGATCAACGTTACAAGTGAAAATGAAGATAGAATTCGTCAAAATTTATATGGTCATAGCAAATTAAATAAACATACACATGTAAAATATAAGTTTGATATAGGTGACCAAGTACGAATAAGTAAAATAAAACGAAGGTTTGAGAAGGGGTATTTACCGAATTTTTCAAAAGAAATTTTCACTGTAAGTCAAAAAATACCGCGCAATCCTCCTGTATACAGACTGAAAGATCATGAAGGGGACGAACTTCAAGGAACATTTTATGAAAAAGAACTTCAAAAAGTCATCAAGAAAGACGATGTTTATGAGATTGAAAAAATACTTAAGAAACGTGGTAGAGGGGGCAATGTACAATATTTTGTAAAGTGGTCAGGTTACCCTAACAAATTTAATTCATGGGTACCAGCATCGGAAATACATATATAAAACGTAACCGTTTTCATGATTTTTTTCATTTCACATTATACCTTAAAGATGAGCGGGACACACTTCTATCTGACATTACCTAGTAACGCATCTCTCTCTGTATTTCCTGAGAATAAGATTTCGGGTTATCGCGTAAAATTACCTCACGTTGTGAATTTAAATGGTAATTGGGAGGTAGGATTGTATTCAATTACATATCCTCATACATGGTACACGTTGAAAAAAGGTTTGGATACACATATATATGTAACTCACAAAACAGGTCTACCTACTCCGGTATTTGTCGACTATGGCCTGTATGAAAAAGCCTTCGACCTAGTAAAATCAGTTAATGAGACTCTTGACAGAGAAGTAAAAGACAATATCAAATTGAGCTTTGACCCTCGAACGGAAAAAATTAAAGTGCATGTAAGCCAGGGTTACAGAATATCATTTAATCAACGAATGTCGGTCTTACTCGGTTTTGGCGGAAAAGACGTAGAGATTATAAAAACAACCGAAAGCCCTTATGCTTCTGATTTGCACGGATCCGTCATGATGTATGTATATTGCAACATTGTACAACCGCAAGTTGTTGGAGACGTCAATGTAAAATTACTAAAGGCAGTTACCATTCAAGGAAAATATGGAGACATTGTTTCAAGAACATTCACTAATATCCAATACATACCCGTGCAAACAAAATCTTTTGAGGACATCGAAATTCTCTTAAGGGACGAGTTAGGAAACCCCATCGCATTTGAACGAGGGAAGTCGATAGTGACACTTCATTTCAGAAAGCAAGCTTCGTCTTAACGATTCTGCACAAATCTTACCCACGCCTCATTATTCAAGGTCATACTATTCAATGGTAATTTTTAATTTACACGCGCGAGATGGCAGCGAAGGTCACATCTCAAACGCATGCGCTGTGTACTTCAACCACTTGAAATTTACACGTGCGAGATGGCAGCGAAGGTCACATCTCAAGCGCATGCTGTGCTTCAACCACTTGAAATACTAAAAGTGTTTTGTATGTGTTAAGACGATAAAAACTCTGCAAAAAATCAAGACACGCAAATCAGAAAATTTTGCAGAATGGCATCGATGCAGCAGACAGAATACCCTGAAATTAGTAAGTGCGAGCTCTTTCTGTTTATTTCAAATTAGAGAATGTTTTTTATCTTCAACAGAATCTATCTCCTCATTTTCAGAAAAATGTAATCACTGTCGTGATTTTTTCATCACGGCTAAATGTGGACATACTGTCCATTTGTCCCCGTTAGTGGAGTCACGGGGAAAATTCAAGTGTAGAATTTGCGGGTTTGTATGCCTTTAAAGATATTTTAATCTCAGGTTGCGTTTCATGTCATTGATTTTTAGTCTTCATTCATGTAGTGTATCGGACGCAAGTGTTGATGCCGCTGTCCGTCAATTTGTGATGTAAGTTTGTAATTCATGGGTGCGTTTATATATAAACTGTCATACGGAAGCAGCAATTTTATATAGTGGTTCTTATTTCATTCATTCAGAAAACTGTGTACAGAGGGCATCATGATTGACGTTCAGATTTAATGCAACAAAGATTTAATGTAACAACATGAATAAAGATTTACAAATGTTGAATGACTCGTTTTTTAAGTTTGTTCATTTTATCTGAAAGAAATATTTTAAGCCAGTCGTTACAAGTGTATTTTAGTATCTCAAGTCCGTTAACGGGTGGGTCGACACCTTCAATGCTCTTCATAAAATCTTTGATCACAATCTCATCGGACACATTTTCCGAGGCATCATCAAAATGCAACAACATACGCTCGTCATGCTCCATCATGAGACAGTCATGCTCACGCTGAGAGGGGTGATCGATCATGCATCCATTGCAGTTCTTATTTACTTCAGCGTTTATCATTGCAGCAATTTCTTCAGCATAGCAGTCTAAAAGTTTATTTTCTAACAAACTTTGACGTACAGTTATTTCATTCTTTTCGGACTCCAAAAGCAATTTGTTCATTCTTAATGCCAGATCAATGTCTACATTCAATTCCATTTGTTTCAAGAGATAGAATGTAAACCTTTCGATAAAGTATAAGCTATAAAATGCAATTACCTCGTTTTCTACCGTTTTTACCTTCGATTGAGAAAAGGAAACGGATCTAATGTTACTTTGTCAATAGCATGCAACTTCCAGCTTTGTCGTATTTCCGATTTTCACGCCGTCCAATGCCATGCCATGTTTACTAAACCCTATTTCCGGTTGACATGCGCGCGCACCGATCAACTTCAGGGGGAGTGGAAACTAACTGGCACGGGTAAGAGCTCCGTGACAAAAGTGTGACAAAGCTGCATGATATCTACTAACCCTCTGTCATGTCCTGTTAATTTCTCAATGTTAAATGTGCTGTATGATCCGTGTCCAACCAGAAAAAAAGATTTATATTTGATGCCTGTGAACTCATTTTCGTCTGTGACACCACTTTTCTTCAGCCACAAGAAATCGTTTACCTCGGTCGTCCGTCAGTTTTTCTCTTCTTCCATCGTCGTTGGTTATGTCCACCCTACGTAAATCATCTCACGTTCCGTCCCCCCCCAAAGTTTTACGTTCATCCCTTGGTGATTTTTAACATGTCTACTTCAATTTCAATCTCATCACAGTCACTGTTATTATCGTCTACATCTTTGCTGTTGTCGCAACTTCGTCATCAACTTCTCCACAATCAGCGATATCATTCTCAACGTCAAAGTCATCACCTCTGTTGTCGTTATCACCATTATTACCACCACCCTCATCACCAGCATCAGAACCGTTACAATCGCAGCTATCGTCTTGGTCTTTACAGTTATCACCATCATCGTCAGAATCAATGGTATTGTCTTATTCGTTTATGTATTTTGTTCGACGAGCGAAAGAAAAAACTGTCAACTTTTATGTGTTAGTTTATTCTACGATAGTTTTAATATTTGTTTTTATAATGTTGATGTATTGCATAGTTCACAATTGTCGTCGCTGTTTCTCATCTGTACATACCAATCACATAGAAATGACTGCGTATCGTGTTCAATCATTGTTGGTGTTGTCCCGTGTAGAAATGTGTCAAAAACATCAGTCTAAAAATATGTATATTTGTTTGTTAGTTTGCTTGTCATTGATTAAAAACTGTTTAACTATTCATCATTTTTTATTTTTTTGTTAAAAATGTGCACAATACATGTATGTAACTTTAATTTACCTGCATTGGCATTATATTTGTTGGATCCACGTGTCTGTGAAATGAAAGTTCAATGCCGGTTGTGAGGGAAATGATGCAGTAAATGATAAGAACGCTCTGGCAAGATATCTAACAATGCTAATAAAGGAGTGGGATGAACATAAGTCTATATTGAAGGGAAATGAAAAGAGCCTTCAAAGACCTACCGACCGGCATGATGCAGTAAATGATTCCCATGAAAGATGCCTGACAATGTGAATAAAGTATCGGTGAGTCAATATTGATCATGACTCAATATTGAAGAGAAATTAAAAAGTAAAATCATGTTGGGAAGATAAGATCCTATGGTGTAGGCAGTATCATAGAGGGAAGCGATGCAGTTAATGAATGATGGGCTCCTTCTGGAAAGATATCAAACAATGTACCGAAAGGGGTTACTGATTTGAACAAGCATGGGTCTTACATTTGAATGTGATTCTATTTAATTCTTTACTCGAAGTATGAATGAGACCTATTTTTCTTCAAAGAAAATCATGCGTTTGTAAATGATTATTCATGTGAAGGCCAACACTTTAAAAAAAGGGGGAAAATGTTCTTGTTGCACTTTAGCTTTAACAGTGCTTCATAAACGAGTTAAATCTGTGATAAGAGAGCAAATAATCTGAGCATCATGGTTTCGATTGAGAAATACCCATGTTTCTGCGGTGCAGGCCTCGAGAGAATCCTATCTAAGAAGGACGATATGTTAAATGTAGAGGTGAAGGATGCACATTGTTCTGCCTCGAAGAAAGGTACCATATCATAATGGATGCCTACGAAACGAAAGTCGTGAAAGAATTCAAACTTAACAAGTTCCCCTTGTGTGAATGTAGTTATCCAGGCAGTCTCAAGGTCTCCCAATCGAGTAATAGTCCTGAAAGGCCATATTTTCGATGTCAATCCATCGCCGACGAAGAAAAATGTAGCTTTTTCCATTGGCGGAGGGTAACTACGAATAGCGAGATCATTAAGAAAAAAAGAAAGGTTTAACTGAATGACTACAAGAGGAAAGGAGCTTTTAAACTTTGATTCGTTAAAAGAAATGATTTATAACTATTGTTACATAATACATAATCATGTAAATTATACTTATTATTATATACTTAAATATATTATTAGTTAACTAGTTAGTGATTTTTATAAAATGCCTTACTCATACATGCATGTGTATGTTAACCACAATAACAGGAAAAGCTTACGTATAGGACGTGGTCAACCTACTGACCACAGACAACGTACAGGATACATGGTTAATCAATTGACCACAGTTTACGCACAAGCGGTTAATCGTACGTCATTGTGCAATCACATATAAGCCGAGAATCGAAAGCTGTAGTTATGTTGGTGCTTAGTAGAAGTCCACATCAGAAGAAAGCCTCATGTAAAAGAAAACGAACTATTTACGAAGATAACCAAAGAATCCCGATATATATCCAATCCATCAACGAAAGAGTCACTGAAAGTCTGAAAGCAGTTGTCTTAGATAAGTTTGAACATTTAACATTTATATTATAACGTTTATATTAAAACTATTAGTATATTAAATAAATATTTTAAGAATTGACAACAACTTCTCCACAAGGTTTTACTCCTTTTGTTACGAGCAATTGAACCAAAAGCGGCCATTTTATTATTAGTCGGGACGTTCGTAACACTATGTAGAAAAACCATCAACTGTAGAAATAGAAGAATATAAAATAGTCTGAGAAAAATGGTCGCGCAAACTTGTAAATAGAAATCAAATGAAAAAATATCAAGTTGTCTCTGAATAACAAATAAAAATAGACGAAGGTGCCGATACCATTCCTTGTGGCTATCATTGATTTCCGACACTTAAAGTTCACATCGTCAGACTTTTCCCTTACACGATGTGGTGACAGATGATATTTTGTTTCCATCAAATTGTGCAAGAAAATGGCATGGACAGAGACGAAATTAGCGAGTCGATTGATTTAATGATAACCGACTCCGATAAAGATAAAAGTCTTTTCCGAACGACAATCAAATGCGGAGTTTCTAAATGACAGTGATGTGTCGCATCTCAGGCGCATGTGCAGTGCATCTCAACCACTTACGAAATTGAAAGCGCTTGTGGAGATACAACACCATAAAAACTCTGCAAAAAAAAAAATCCAAACACGCAAAGCGAAGGATGACCTCGCCACAATCGTCGTTTTATAGTACCGTTTGTCTTTTTTCTGTTCCTTACGGTGTTTGTATTAACTTCAACAGAGACGTCGATTTTATTTTTTTAGAAAATTGTGATCACTGTGAAGATTACTTTGTTAAGCCCTCGTGTGGGCATGTAAGCCACCTTGCCGCTGTGATCGAAAATATGTTCAACAAGACGGACATTCAGTTTTAATGTCTCGTTTGCGGGTATGTACATCTATAAAGATTTTTTTCAAGGTAAAATTAATTCATTACAATTAAAGTCATTTAACTTTTTTTTGTTCTTATAGAATTACGGATTCAGAGATGGATCGTCTAATAAAAGACCTTATCGAGTAAGTTTTAATTCGTTTGTAGTTGTCGTAAAATGTTTTTTTTTCTATGTAATATTACATCGCTTACGTATATGTATACAGAAGTGCTAACATGTAAGCAGTAAATTCATACATGTTTCTTATATTTCTTTTAGAACAATGTGTAATGGTTTGACCTTACGAATCGAACAGGAATAAATAAAAATATATATTTACAAAAGCTTAACGACTCGCGTTTCAAGTTTGTTCTTTTTATCCAAGATGTTGTCAGCTCTTAACGCAAGGAAAGCAACTGGCCCAGACGGTATTCCCGCCTGGGTTTTAAAAGAGAATGCTGATTTATTGGCCGCTCCCGTGGCAGATATTATAAACAGCTCCTTTAAAGAGGCCCGGTTACCAGAATCATGGAAAAAAGCAAATATTACACCGATTCCAAAGCAGAAACCTGTACGAGATATTAATAAACACTTAAGGCCTATATCACTTACAGCGATTGTATCAAAAGTAGCCGAGGAGTTTGTTGTTGAAAATTATGTCAAGCCAGCTGTACTTAAGAAGATAGACTCTAATCAGTATGGGGCAATTCCAAATTCAAGCACAACTATAGCTTTACTTAGTATGTTACAGCCGTGGAATAAAGCAACTGATGGTAACGGGGCGGCCGTTCGTGTGTTGTTATTGGATTTCAAGAAAGCTTTTGATCTGATTGATCATAACTTATTGGTTGAAAAACTACGTTCATTTGATATACCGAAATGGGTTCTACACTGGATTACGGATTTCCTCTCCTTCAGGAAACAAAGAGTAAAGCTGAAATT